CTGGCCAGCTAGTTTTCTCGGTTACCATCGTGCTGTGAATTACGCTGCATAAGTTACTCATTTCCTCTGGTTACGGCAGGTCAACAGAGGAAAAATAGCCAAGATGCTGTTCCTGACTCACATAAAAGCCAAGCATTTACTTTTGAGTGGAATTCTTACTTCTTCATCTAAAAAGTATCTTCCAGCTTCTTCCTTCAGCAATCTGCAAGGAAGAACAGCCCAAAGACACCCCTGGGTGTCAGCAGAGGCTGGATAACCACCCAGAGACCACCCAGGATCTCTCCACCACAGATACCACACTCTTGACCATGACCTGCCTGCTTCCAACTCTCTCCTTCATAGGGCTATGGCCTGCCCACAATGCACAGACTTTACACACTTACAGCTCTTATGAATCTAAGAAAATTGGAAGTCATCAAAAAATGAAAGAGGACTCCTAAAGAGTGATATTCTAGGTGTTAGTGAGATGAAACTCACTGGTATTGGCCATTTTGAAATTTAAAAACATACAGTTTACTATGTTGGGACTGGCAATATCAAGAGGAATGGTGTTGCCTTCATTGTCAAAAAGAACATTCTAATATCTATTTTAAAGTGCAATGTTGTCTGTGACAGGATTATATCTATGCGCATTCAAGAAAATCCAATTAATATAGCTATTATTGAAATTTATGCACCAACTGCTAAAGGTAGTGATGAAAAAAATTGAAGAATTCTACTATTGTCTTCAGTCTAAAATTGATTAAACATGTGATCAAGTTTCATTAATAATTATTACTGATTGGAATGCAAAAGTGGGAAACAAACGTAGTTGGAAAATATGACGTAGCTGATAGAAATGAAACTGGAGATAGCCTAATAGAATTTTGCAAGATTAAAGACTGCTCCATTGCAAATACTTTTTGTCAGCAGCACAAACGGGTGACAACAGACTTCTCTAGATGTACTATATCTGTGGAAGAGACAATGGAGAAGCTCAATATCAGCAGCTAAAACTAGGTCAGGGGCTAGCGGTGGAACACACCACACATTGCTCATAGGTAACTTTAGGTTAAAGCTGAAGAAAAGAAAATCAAGTCCACAAGAGCCAAGAGCCAACTTTGAGTCTGTGGCACCTGAATTTCGAGAATATCTCAAGGACACATTTGCTGCACTGAACCGTAAGGACAGACGACCGGATACACTGTGAGCTGGCATTAGAAACATCATACATGCAGATGTGTGGTCATGAAAAGGTCATTTAAAAGGCAGGAAAAGGAGAAAAGTTCCATGTAAATGTCCAAAGAGACTCTGAAACTCGCTCTTACTTGTAGAGCACCTGAAGCCAATAGCAGAAACGATGTCGTCAAAGAGCTGAACAG